CTCAGGGCAGCCATCAACATTTTAGAGACGTAGCAGACCAAACCAGAGCTGGTATACGTGACGCTAGATGCACTGAAGTTAGCCAAACTTGCTTATGAACACTAGGTAAGCGACACTGTTTACTAGACCACTTCTTAGCACTTCATGTAGCGACTTGCACTCCTGTTCATGTGATTCATTAATCTTAGGGCAGTGAAACAAATCATGCGTTCATTCAGGTTTGAACACAAATGTCTTTTGGGGATAGAAGGCTACAGAAAGGCACTTGGAGGGCCATTTTTTAGTAACCATCTTCCTGAGAATTAATTTACCTCAGTTCTTGCTGTACAAATTACTGTGGTTAAATGTACTTACCTTCCTCCTTCAGAAAAATGTCACGTCAGACAGCTGGAAAATGGTTATTTCTCATATGGACAGAAGAATGTTTACAAGGAAGGCGAAAGAGTTAAATATGTCTGCAGTGATGACTATTATGCTGAACACGAAGATGGGCAAGTCACGTGCACAAAGGATGACTGGTCACCTCCTCCAAGATGTATCCGTAAAAGTAAGTGTGCTCGTATTTTGTTGAGGTTTCTAGCTAAAACCGATAAATCCATCATCACATCACGTACATTAATCCATCACTACTGCTTAGTAACTCTAAGTCTAGGTGCTCTACACCTGAAACACAATGCCGTCATTCTCTCAGTGTCTCATGCAGCCCTCATGTCCCTGTGTGCTGCTGAGGTCAGTCGCTATATAAACATACAGAATGAAACCCTGTAAAACATCCACGCATGGCTCATTCAGATCTCCTAGAATGTAAGCTCTGGGATGGGAGTCACAGTCCCTTTATTTTCAGTGGTGAAATCTTGTTATAACATAGCTGTGCAGTAATGTAATAAATAGTGATCATTCCCCTTGCACAGCCTATCTGTAATTTGTTTCCGTTCAGCCTCTTGCTATGCCACCTGGTCCTTGTTCCTCTTGCTTCCTTTCCAGCTGGCATCATACTGGAAGGAGGGAGGAATAGGAAGGTTACCTCTCCTAACTCTGTTTCCAGCTTTTGTTCCTGACTTGTACCAAGCCTGAAGTTGCTAGAATGTCTCACAGGAACTTTAAATATTTAGATAATGATTTCATATGGACAAAAATAATTCAACCTAGCTTTTCTTGGACTGTAAAAATACTTTTTTAGGGAACCATTTGTGACGGAAAAAGACTTACCTGCAAGGTTCAAGCAAAGGACTTGAACTTCACTCACAGACTTAACTGCAAGGTTCAAGCAAACGACTTATTTGAACTTCACTTACAGACTTAACACGCCACTATTGCAGGTTTTACAGATACAATGGAGGAATGCACTACTGCAATTTTTAAGGCAAGAGTAGTACACTATTACAACCACAAGCACACACACGTTTACAAACTTAAAGCATAAACAATATTCACTGACCTCTCCAGGTAAGGGCTCTCAATCCTAGGGAAGCTACCTCGACCGGTGTCCTGATCAAGGGGTGAGGGGAAGGGTTTCCTTCACAAGCCAGCTGTATAGTTGGAGAAGTGAGTCCCCCATCTCCAACCTGAATCTTAGAGTT